TCATTTTGAAGAATGTATTCTTGGGACTAACTACATCTTACAAGCAGTAAGTGAAGGAACCAAGAGTGCTTAGTCTGGAAAAAGGAGAGTCAGGGGACTGTGAGAGAGATATACTCAAATGCTTGAAGGGTTATCCCAAGAAAGAAGGATCTGACTTGTGCCAGGTGGCATGAGAAGGTAGAATCAAGATGAATGGGAAAAGATTGAGGTGGGAACACTCTTCAGACCACCGCCCTAACAGCCAGCACTGATGGAAGCGGAAACTGGTGACCAGAAGGTGTGCACTCTGTCTCATTTTGAAGAATGTATTCTTGGGACTAACTACATCTTACAAGCAGTAAGTGAAGGAACCGAGAGTGCTTAGTCTGGAAAAAGGAGAGTCAGGGGACTGTGAGAGAGATATACTCAAATGCTTGAAGGGTTATCCCAAGAAAGAAGGATCTGGCTTGTGCCAGGTGGCATGAGAAGGTAGAATCAAGATGAATGGGAAAAGATTGAGGTGGGAACACTCTTCAGACCACCGCCCTAACAGCCAGCATTGATGGAAGTGGAAACTGGTGACCAGAAGGTGTGCACTCTGTGACACTGAAGGTGCAAGTGGCTATACCAATTACAGAAGGTAGTCAAGTGAGTATCAGGTGAAATTCAATTACCTGCAAGACCACTTTCACTCTTGATGTTCCCAGTGTCTGTCTCATGCTGTGATGTGAACCATTTCCTACTGCTGCTCAGAGGGAATATCAGACTGACACTTGTGGGGAAGGTGGGCTGGGGGAGGGCCCCAGCCCAGTGAGATCCTACAGAATGGACATGCAGACTTGATTGCTCTGCCCCTTGGAATGGGGCTCCTGATAGGGATAAGAGCCCACAAAAGAGGTGCAGAGTGAGGGATTGTGACTTCCAAATTGACAGCTGGAGGAATACTTCTGATGAGAGTATTTTCTTAGAGAGAAGTATTTGAAAATTTTAAGTGAAAGAGCATGGAGAGTGCCCCAAACTCAAGGGCAGAGCTCCCTGCTACCAATACACTTTCCTGACCAGGACTTGGAGGAGAAAGGAGCACAGTCACATGGTCAGATCATTTCAGAGGGTCCCTGTATGTTCACCACAAGGCATCCAGCTTACCCGCAGAGAAGATCCCCGACTGTGGGTCTCCTCACTTGGTATGTAATGACCTGAGAATGGAAGTATGTCTGTGCCATCTGTGTCGTTATGTGCTCACAGGAGTGTGCATGCCCACACTTGCTCATGTGATGACTGGAAAAAAGTGACTATTTATTCAGAGCCTTATATTTACTTTATACTATAATAAACTATTCTGTATAAAAGAGGCAAGTAAAATCTATTATTTTGTTGTTCTAAAATTAATCTCTTTCTCTCTTTGCAGTGGAGTTTTTCACTCTAGCTAATAAAATGCTGTATAAACTATTCTGTATAAAAGAGGCAAGTAAAATCTATTATTTTGTTGTTCTAAAATTAATCTTTCTCTCTTTGCAGTGGAGTTTTTCACTCTAGCTAATAAAATGCTGTCGTCTACTCCAATAACATTGAATCAAAGCAACATCTTTACAAAGTTCCAGACATTTCCTAATACCACAGATGTTATTATTCCCTGCTTTATACACAGGGCATTACAGTTTACAAAATACTTTTATTCTTGTTCTCTCATTTAAGCCTCGTGATCTTAGGAGGAAAGCAGGGCATGGATTACCATCCTTCTTCTTTGGATGAAGGACACACAGCTAGTGCACAGAGGAGCTGGATTCGGACACACGTCCTTTGTCAGCACATTCCCTGTTGTGTCACTCTCCCATGTGGATTTCTCCTAAATGAAATTTTGTAGCACTGAAAAACAAGATGGTACCAAGGCAACTATCCAATGCAATAGCCATCATGAGTATACGTTTTTCCAGAAAGAGTTTTTAGTTTCTAATAGTTCTTTTGAACCTGACCATCCATCACAGAAAAGGTCAATTCGCACAGCTGAGGGAGTAAAATCAGAAAACCAGAGCCCTATGAGCCTGTTTCATGGGATCAGACAAAGCTTTAGCTTCTGACTTCAGCCTCCTGAAATGGAAACCTGTATCTCTGCTTGAACTTTGTTCAGCTCCTGCTTTTTACAGCTTTTCAGGGTCATATAGATTCTCTCTTGGCTTTGAACTATGCTCACTTGTCTGTGTATAAAAAATTTGAGAACTGCAGCTACAAAATATTCTGTCTGCCCCTTAGTTTCCATTAGACTTATTAAAACAACTTACTAAATTTTATCGATAAAACGATTTTCTTCAAAATTGAACAGACATGCAAATAACAATGTCAACAAAACATAACTCTCCTGGAGTTGCTAAGAGAGCCTTTGGCACACTTGTTCCTTCCTCAGGAAGCTGCATTGGCCATCTTCTCTGCCTTGAATGCCATGCTCCCACCCACTCCCCATCCCCATGGCTCATTCCTTCTACTTCAGATTCCAGCTCACTTGTTTCTTTTTCCAGGAAGCCTTCCCTGACTGTTAAAGGAAATTCCAGGTCCCACTGGCTGAATCTGGGCTCCTGGTGTCTCAAACTGAGAACTGGACAAGACATGCCAGAGGTGAAAAGCAAAGAGCAGTTTTATTTAGCAAAGCGAGAGTACATCTTGGAGAGGATGGAGCAGGTTCAAGTGAGAGAGTGGCTCAAGAACCTGACAATTACATTCCTGGGGTTTTAATTCCTCTCAGCTGGATTCGTGTCATCTGGTCATTGGTTGAGCCCTGAGTGTAGTCTTTGTCTTATTGGCTAATTTTATTGGTGCCCTCCTCACTGTTAGGGGGCTCATTGGTCCAACCAAATGATGTCTTAGCTGGTAGGAGGCTCTCTGTCTGGAATTGTCTTTGTCTCCTGTGGCTGCTTCTGTGCATGTGCGTGCCTGCTCAGGGAACCAGTCTGTCCCATTTGCAAATAACCTGGTTTCCTTCTCCCTCTCTCGTCTCTAAGTTCCTACCTCATTTCCCCAAGAGTCAAGATCCCCATAAATCTTTTTGGGTTGTAAAGGGGCAATGGTCCATCTTCTATAGCTGCTTCTTTGCTGCAAAGGGGCGTTGGCCCTGCCTATTGGCCCTGCTTAGTGGTCAGTCCCAGGCATGTTAGTGGTCGAGCTGGTGTCTTTATCTGGCCTGGGCAGTGTGCAGTGAGGAGTCGATATCTTTTTGCTATCACCATCTTCATGTGAAACTGTTGTAGCCTGGAAGATACTAGCTTTACTAACAGATTAAGACAGGACTAAATCTAATAAAAGGTGTACTATCACTTTCTTCCAAAACATAATTTTCTCTCTCCATGTTTCCCAATTTTACCAAAGATATTTATAACAAGACTAATTTATTTGTAAAATAAGTTTAGTTTTTGTAAAATAAGTTTAGTTATTTGCATGAAGTGCAACAAGAATAATGGTTTATCATGTAAATTCTTTTTGAGTTGTCTTTGCTGGGATTTTTATAAGGAATCCCAGATTAGACCTTCAAAAGCCTCTTGGGTCTTGGGAAGCCAAGCCAAGGATTTGACTTACTCTCTGATTACCTATATGAGTTGGGTGAATTCTTCTCTTCTGGAGGTGCCCAAAATATCAAGGTTCTGGCCTGTCAGAAAGTTACATTCTTTACTTACCTCAAGACCAGGAACCTTGTAGTCATGTAGACAATCAGGCCAGTCTTTCCAAGGGGCTTTTTATTGGCTCCATAAAAAGGTAAACTTCAATTCCTTAAGGCAGTCCAGTCATATCTGAAAACATGACATTCCAGTCAAAGCCTTAGTAAAATAACCAGTGTCTCCAATTGTGTCCTGTTACAAGGACAAATTCTTATTGAACTTATGCAAATAACTTTATAGCCATAAAATAAAAATACTTATAAATAGTTTCAAAATCCTGAGGGATCAAGTAGAGAGCAAATTAAACATTTCAATTTTTGCTCATAAGTGTATACTTTAGCAAGCTGTTATACCCTAAAATATTTTCTTAAATCTGGAAAACAAAACATTAAAAGAACCATCAATGTTTCAAAATAAAGAAATTATAAAGACTCTCAATTTTTTTATCAGTTCATTCAGTTTTATGTAATTAACTTTTGCTTCTTGACCTTGGTTAGCAATTTCATAAACCCATCAGTTTCTTTATTAGAATTTTGGAAATTCAGTCCAATGGTATGAACTCAAAGTTGTCAGGAACCTGTACCTGTCATTTTTTTTCCATGAAATTTTTGAAGACATAACATTTTAAAATTATAACTGAACCAAGTTTATGACTAGTAGCATTTATATCAAATCACAGATTTCTAAGAACCTTACATAATTTTGGAACACATATCTTTTCCATGAAATTTTTGAAGACATAACATTTTAAAATTATAACTGAACCAAGTTTATGACTGGTAGCATTTATATCAAATCACAGATTTCTAAGAACCTTACATAATTTTGGAACACATATCAATGTATCTATGTAACATATTTATATAAAAACGGTTAAACACCATTTCATGTTTAGACAATGTTTCCCATTTAATTTAACTTATCAGACAAGTCCAGTTAGTTTTGATATCTCTCTTTTATAGATCCTTTGAGAAGTTCCAGGGCCCTTGCAACATCTCAAAGTTAGTTTAAATCAAAAACACTTAATTTTTAGAATTTGGTTTTGGGAAGTTTGTCAAACAACAAAGGTTTAAACACATAATCAAATAGGATCATAAATCATTATAAAAATAAAACCAAAGTGACAAAGGATTTCAAAGGCAGCACAAGAAAGTGTCTTGATAAAATGTGGAATAAATTTCCTAGGCCAGTTACCTAAAAGAGAAAATAAAACGTCTTATAATTTTTTAAGAGCAATTAAGTGTTTTCAGGAAATCTGGTTGTTCCAACATAGGAGA